CGCTGCTGGTGCCTGGTGGTCACCATGGCTCTGTGGGTGCTTCAGCCTGGTGGTGGCCAACACAATCCCCCTGGTCACCTCAAGCCTGGTGTCTACCACAGCTCTGCAGAACTTCAGCCTGGCAGTGGCTACCTTGAGGTGATAGCCACTGGCCTGGGGTGAGTACTACAGCTCAACGGTTCCCTCAGCCCGGCTGTGGCCACCACAGCTCCACAGTGGCCACCTCAGACTCCATGGCCACTGATGTCTGGTGGTGCCTACAGTCTGGCTGGTGGATGCCAGGGCTTTGTGGTCCCCACAGCCTGGTGATGGCCACCTCAAGCTCCACGTCCGCTGATGCTTTGTTGTCCCTGCAGCCTGGTGGTGGCTGCCAGGGCTTTGTGGTCACCACAGCCTGGCTGGGGCCAAAACCTCAATCCCAGCAGCCACCGATGCCTGGAGGTCACCTCAACCTGGCCACAGCCACCTAAACCTCAGTAGCCATTAATGTGTGGTAGTCCCCTCTGCCCAGCAGCAGCCACCTCGACCCCCAGTGGCCACTTCAACCCCCATGGTCACCAATGCCTGGTGGTCCCCTCAGGACTGGTGGCCGCCTCAAGCCTGGTGGCCACTGGTGCCTGGTGGTCACCGCAGCCCAGCAGCGTCCACCTCACCTCCAGCAGCCACTGATGACTGGTGGTCACCTCAACTCTGCTGCCCATCTCAACCCTGGCGGCCACCTCAGCCCAGCAGTGGCCACCTCAACCCCAGTGGGCCACTGACACCAGGCAGTCGCCTCAACCCTGGTGACCACCTCAGCCCAAGTTGCTACCGCTGCCTGGCAGTCATCTCACCCTGGCCACAGCCACCTCAACCCCAGCAGCCACCTCAACCCCAGTGGCCACCGATGCCTGGTGCTTCCCCAAGCCTGGCAGTGGCCACCTCAAGCCCAGTGACCACCACCGCCTGGTGGTCGACTCAGCCTCCAGGGGCCACCTCAACCTCCAGTGGCCATTGATGCCTGGTGGCCACTGCTGCCTGGTGGTCACCTCAAAGCCTGGTGACAACCTAAAGCCCAGCAGCCACTGATACCTGGTGGTCCCCTCGAGCCTGGTGGTCACCTCAAACCCAGTGTCTACCTAAAGCCCAGTGACCACTGATAACTGGTGGTCCCCTCAAAAGCCTGGTGACCACCTAAAGCCCAGTGGCGACTGATACCTGGTGGTCCCCTCAAAGCCTGCTGGTCCCCTCGAGCCTGGTGACCACCTAAAGCCCAATGTCCACCTAAAGCCCAGTGGCCACTGATACCTGGTGGTCCCCTCGAGCCCGGTGGCCACCTCAAGCCCAGTGTCCAGCAGTCACTGATGCCTGGTGGTCCCCTCAAGCCTGGTGGTCACCTCAGGTCCAGTGGCCACTGATGCCTGGTGGTCCCCTCAAAGCCTGGTGGCCACCTCAAGCCCAGTGTCCACTGATGCCTGGTGGTCCCCTCAAAGCCTGGTGGCCACCTGAAGCCCAGTGTCCACTGATGCCT